ACGGCCGTCGCCAACCCCGGGCCGGAGCAAGACGATACATGGACTTTGTTCACTGACGGCTCGTCGGCCGCGAGATCATGCGGCGGCGGTGTCGTCCTCATATCCCCTGAAGGATTCAGAGCTTACTATGCCATCCGCTTCAACTTCAGGGTATCCAACAACGAAGCCGAGTATGAGGCCCTCCTCAGCGGTCTCAGACTCGCCGTCGGCCTCAAGGCCAAGCACCTCAAAATCAAGTGCAACTCCAAACTGGTGGTGGGCCAGGTGGAGGGATCGTACGAAGCAAAGGAAGGCCGGATGAAGCACTATAGACAAGCGGCGGAGGAGTTGCTGAAAGCGTTTGAAACCCACGAGATCACTCAGATCCCCAGGGCCGAGAACGCCGAAGCCGACATCCTCTCCAAGCTCAGCTCGGACACCCCGGAGCACATCTCCCAGTTGGCCAAGATCGAGGAGTTGAGCATGTCCAGCATCCATGCCAGCCCCGTCTTGTGCGTCCAACAGCGACCCGAGGACTGGATCTCCGACATCGCCGCCTTCATCACAACAGGGGAGCTGCCCCCGGACGAGGAGAGGGCCAAACTTGCCAAACTCAGGGCCCCAAGCTACACCATCGAAGATGGCAAACTCTACAAACGGTCCTATAATGGCACTCTCCTCCGATGCCTGCACCAGGACGAGGCCGACACAGCCATGGAAGAAGTTCATTGTGGCGTCTGCTCCTCACACCAGGGCCCTTTCAGCATGTCCCGGCGTCTCGTCGTCCAGGGCTTCTTCTGGCCGACGATGGCACGCGACTGCGCTGACCTGGCCAGGAAGTGCACCACATGCCAGGTACTCCAGAAGGCCCCTGGTCGGCCAGCTGTCAACTATGCCCCTGTCAGCACCGCAATTCCATTCTCCAGATGGGGGATTGACCTGGTCGGCCCCCTGCCCAGAGCCGTCGGGAATAACCGCTACATCATCGTCGCCGTCGATTACTTCACCAAGTGGGTCGAGGCGGAACCCTTGGCCAGCATCACGGGGGCCAGATGCCAAAAATTTGTTTACAAGAACATCATCACACGCTTTGGCGTCCCCCAGGAGATCATATCAGACAACGGCACCCAATTTGAGGCAGCCCCTTTCCAAGAACTCCTCCGGGAGTTTGGGGTAAAGCATCGTTTCTCCTCCGTTGCCTACCCTCAGGGCAACGGGCAGGTCGAGAACACCAACAGAACAATTATGGAGGGGCTGAAGAAGAAACTCCAGGCCGCAGGAGGTAGTTGGGTCGACGAGCTCCCCAACATCCTGTGGTGCTACAGAACCACGCCGAGGAGGGCGACAGGTGAAACGCCTTTCGCCCTATGCTACGGCTTCGAGGCAAAGGCGCCCACGGAAGTTGCCATCCCCAGCCGAAGGGTGGAACAATACGAGCCTGACGCCAATGAGGAAAGCATGAAGATTGACCTGCACTTGGTCGATGAGAGGCGTGAGCAAGCTTACGTCCGAGCAGAGAACTACCGGCGTCAAGTAAAATCATACTATGACGCCAAGGTACGTTCCCGGGAATTTCAGGTGGGGGACTACGTCCTCCGCCGAAGGGAAGCAAGCCAGCCGACAGAGGGTGGCAAGCTAGCATTAAAGTACGAAGGGCCCTACGTCGTCAGTGCCGTGGTCAAACCCGGCACCTACAAGCTTAAACGCCCGAATGGGTCCAATGTACCACGAACATGGAATGTACACCATCTGGTGAAGTTTTATCAGTAATCCGAAGGAGGTGTAGACGGCGAAGCCCTCGCCCCTTAATGGGTTACTGATTGAACGCCACCCTCGGCCTCGAGCCACTTATGAATAAAATCATGTTCTGATTTTTTCTCTGGAAATTCAAAGTAAAACATTAGCAGGTGCCCCCGTCGGCCACCTTAGAGCGAAACGCTCAGGTATGGCCGACGTGGCCCCTTGCATTTTGCAGCCTACGAGCGACAAGCTCAGGCACTCCATTGTATTTTGTATCAGCGAAGGGCTCAGGCCTAGCTGAGAGAGCACATCGTCCTGGCCCCGTAAGCCTAGAAGTGAAACGCTCAGGTATGGCCGACGATGTCCCCAGGACAAGGGGCCCGCAAACGGCCCACGTCTTGAAACGGGAAGCTCACCGCGTCGTCCACGCGCCAGATCGCGGGACGACATGCCTGAAATCATGGCCGAGGTGACAAAATCCCAAAACTCAGGGATGGGCAACGACAGCCGTTGGAAACCGACCAAACGTCTAGCCCGCGTCATAAATAGGCGAAAGAAGGATACCCCCCGAAACGGACGTTATGAACGAAGTCCGAACCGGCTGAAGGACGAGCACACCCTTCGGCCGAAGCCTGAAAGAAGGATACCCCCCGAAACGTAAAAAAAAAACAAAAAATTTAAGGGAAAAAGAGGGAAGCCGACGGCCGCGCACACTAGCCGGCCTCGAGCAATGAAAAAATAAAATCCCCACAACTCAGGCCCAACTAGGCCAAGTACATATCAGTTGAACACAAGTGTAGTACCACTGATAGGTAACATGGACGACACGTCCACACACTACAAGGGAATAATCAAGGCCGAAGTAAACGCCTATAAAACCCTAACCGCATCGGTTGGGTGACGCGCGAGAGGTGACCTTCATCGGCCATAGTCCTTTGAGGCACCACCGCTTGGTATGAAACAAAGAATCACAATCCTGAGGATGACCAGGACGAAACGGGTACCAGTATACTCCAAGGCCGTTAGCTACTTACACCTATGCATGTGTACTTGGAGAACTTTAAAATTCAAAAGATCAAGGTGAAGGTGCCCTTATCGGCCACAACAAAAGGATGCAGGCCGACAACAACACTGGTTCAAACACTTGGGAAATCTCCCAAAGCATTTGTCAACAATGAGAAATCCACCGCCAGGACGATGGGAACACCTTTTCCACTTGAAGTTAGACGCTTAAGAAAAATTCTAACAAAAAGAAGAAGAACGGGACAACGCCAGGACGGAGCGTACACCGCGGTCAAGGCCGAAAGGAGAGCACCTAAGTGGATCCAAAACACTTAGGAATTTTTTGAAAAAAAATCCTAAGTGTTATAATAGTGGAGAAACGACAACCAGGCCGATCAAGCCACCTGGCCGTAAAGACAGCAACCTGCGCGCCCTTACCGGCCACAACACATGGACCCAAGCCGACCACCCTGATCAGATCAAAAACAAGGGGACACAACGGCCACAAAGGACACTGGGCTGACAACGTCCACGTCGGCTCAACACTTAGGAAATCTCTTAGAACACATGATTAACAGTGCAAAGGGGGTGTCACATCAAGACGATGAGAACACCCACCCACTCGAGGTTCCGATACTTGGTAGATTTTCCTAAGTCCTAAACTCCAAAGTACTTAGACATAACAGTAAACGAGACGACGACGCAGACAGCAAGTACTACGAAAACATTTCCATTCAATATAAATTGAGTACAAGGAGGGCTTCTAGGCCATTACATAGCACAAAGAAAGATAAAACTACAAAGGATCAGACCTCTGGAGGGGCTTCAGAGTCTTTCTCGGCCTCAGGACCCCCCTCGGCCGTGACAACAGATGTACCGGCAGGGGCAGCCGACGTGGCAGTATCTTCGAACATGCTCCGCTCATACGCCCAGTCATCGCTGATGCATGAGCTCTCAATAGGGAGCTGCCGCTCGGCCACCGGAAGCTCCAACTCTGCCTCAGGATGCTTCATCAAAGGAGGCAACTCGAGGCCGACGGCCCACTCTTTGGACACACCGATATCCATGAAACGCCGTTGCAGCCTCCTGTACAACAACCGTTGCATCCGGTATTGACCAAGGTCATAAAAGGCCTTCATCTCCTTCTCCCAATAGGCCTGGCCGTCGGGGGATTGGTTCACCCAGTCAACGAGTCTGGCCACCACGACCTCAAAACAGAATGGAAGCCGGCCCTCGTCCTTCCAACCGACTTCAATAAACTTCTGCACAGCGGCATCAGCGGCTTTCTCCTCGGCAGTGACGAGAGCCAACTCTGCACTAGCCTTGCCCTTCTCGGCCTCCTCGGCGCGCTGAAAGGCCTCGTCGCGGGCACGCTCCACGTCGGCCAAGCGCTGGAGAGCCCCCTCCTTCTCAGCGGCCAACTGGTCGGCCTCGTCGGCCCTCTTCTTAAGGCCCTCAACCTCAAGACGCAGCCTCTCTAAGCTGCCTAGCGCCTCATCGGCTGAGGCAACCTTCTGCTCAAATTGCCTCAGACGGGCAATCTCCTTTTGTTGCCTCTTGTTGTTCTCCATCAACATGAAGGCACCCTGCAGTAAAAATAAGTTAGACAACTTTGCAACAAAAAACGGCGAAGAAAGTAAGACGAAGCGTGCACGGTTACTCACTTGGACGACGTGGTCCATCCCACCATCGTACATCTTCACGTGGCCGAGCTTCTTCAGATAAGCCCGGTCTTCATCAGGGATGGCCTGAGAAATCACCTCGTGGCCGTCAACGATTTCATTGAACAGCCCCCCTTTAACGGGGTACTCTACCTCGAGCTTATAGGTCCCTCTGACCAGCTCTCGGCCGGACCCTTTCTTCCGGGAGGCCGTTGAGGGAGCAGGAATAGTGGAAAGAGTGGTGGACGACGGGCCTGAAGGGTGGTCCACCATAGCATCAGGATTTGAACCCTCTCCGTCCCCAGAAGGAACAGCCGACGTCCCAGCATCGCCGGCAGAAGAAGCCCTCTTTGACTTCTTGGGAGGCTTCATTCCCACCTCCGTCAACTTCTTCTGGCCCTCTTCGGCCTGCCTCTTCTTCTTCGGCTGCACCGACGGCTTGGCCGCAGCAGTAGCCCCAGGTTGTTGGGCCTTCAGCTCCTCGGCCGCTTTGAGTTGGGCCCTCTTCATGAACGACATGCGGTCCATCACAAAACCTGCATCACAAAAAAAAAAACACCAAGGGTTAGAAAGCAAAATACGAAAGTACGACAAGGAAGCACGTCAGAAGGGACTTACCATCGGCCTCAGCTGGCACCCCCAGATCGGGACCATCAACCTCCTCATAGGACGTGGTCATCTTCGGCCACAACTCCACATCATCGTCGAGATCACCATACACAAAATACCGTACAAAGCCGAGGGCGGCCATCTTGTACTCGGTAATATATGTCTTCACACTCCTCGGCCCCCCCTCCAGGAAGGCCTCAACTTGAGCGTCCAGGATGGAGCTCCTCGGCGCATCATGAAGATTAAAACGGCCTGTGTGGCCGACGGAGGGAAACTCTGTGCCCCCCTCGCCCAGAGACACGAACACAAACTTCCCTTTCCACCCATGGATGGACGTCGGCAGGTCTGTGAAACTCCTCTTCTTGGGAAGTTGTTGAAGGGTGGCATACGACGCACAGTTCTGATGACTCCCACGGCCTATCTGATACAAGTTCATAAACAGCGCAGTCGTCGGCCTGAAGTCCAATTCAGCACACCGCAGGATGAAGCCGACGATGAGGGAGTAGCTATTCGGCGTCAACAAGGCCGGAGGGAGCCCCACCATATCCAGGTACTCAGTGATAAAAGGATGAAGCGGAAACCTAAGCCCTTTAGCAAAGCTCATCGGGTACACTCCGAAGTAGCCCGGGGGGGATTGAGGACATGGTCCGTCGGCCTGGGGGCCCTAACCCTGCCGTACGGCCCCACATACATTTGGGCGACCAAGTATTCCCCCGCATTACTCTGCGGCCTGATGACATAGATGTTCGTCAAATCAAGGTGAGAAAAGGCTGGCCCTCTCTTCGGCCTCCTAACCCTCCTCGGCGGTGCAACGCCCTTCACAGCAGACACAGGTTTAGGGCAGGGGATGGCAGCCGACGTGGATGCCCCATCAGCAGTTCGAGAGACCCCCGCGTCCTCACCACCAGACGATGACGCAGACCCCTCGTCCGCATGGTCCTCTTCGGCCGGCTCCCCGGTACGGAACGAGCTCAGATTCTCAATCTCTTCACAGAACTCCTCGAGAAGGTCATAATCAAGGGACTGGGCAGAGGGCTCGTCGTCATAAGGATAGTACTCCTCGTTGAGGTTTTTCATCTTAAACACTATCTCGAATATACTGCAGCCTACTTCAAGATCTAAGGATACTCAAGGGCCTAACACTAGATCACTAGCCTAGGAAGCAAAACATGCAAAGTACAGAGAGGATTTCGATGAACACTAACCTTGAACAAACGAAGAACACGAAGAACAAGCTTCAGAGTTTATCTCTCTAGAAATCCGGGCAGCACTTCGACAACACTCAGAAAGCAAATGAGTTTTCTCGTCGGAGGGAGAGGGGTATTTATAGAACCCCCCACCCAACGGTCACTACACGTAGCACCCTCCCAATGGCCACGTCAACGGCCACCAATGAGAGGCCGCCACGTCAACAACGGGCCAAGCAAAACATCAAGAGCCCACCAGCAAAACAGACTCTACGGCCTCTACGCTTGCCGGCTTCACAAGTGCCAGCAAGCGCCCACACCGGCCTATTCACATACCAAATTCACAAGCGCCAACGATAGGGAGATGACAACGGCCAGGAACGTAATGAACGGCCACAGGACCAAAGGAACAAAAACCCACAGTCGTCGGCTCCTCGTAACGGCCCTTGATGATAACTCTTTACAAGCGATCTGCGCACAAGGGTTCTCCCACAGGGTTACCTTGGCCAGAAAATCGCCATAAGGGTTGGATTCAGGGGCACTACGGAGAGGCCGCCTCGGCCTGGGACTCAGGCAACTCCTTCACCCCTCACACTCTTCGGCCTGAAGAAGTGGGGGACTGGGGGACTACACCGGCCTCAACAAAACAAAAGAGAATGCAAACAAGGTAACCACAGAGCATGGCCACATCGGCCATGCGTCACACTGCACCTCGTCGACCGAAGGCACACAACGCCATCTGCAACGGCCAACGGGCCACCAAAGGCAAGGACGCTCATCGTCCTTCGCCATCACTTAATCACGAGGGGCTCTTCGGCCAGAAACATGAAAGCTAATCAACGACGGCCAAAAGGAGTGCGCAACCACCCCCATCGGCCACCCAAAGGAAAGGACGCCATCGTCCTCAGAGCAAGGAACAACCTCAACAGCCTCATCGGCCCAAACTTCAACCATCAATGCCCATGAAAAGGAAAGCGTGCCTATATGCAACCACCCCCATTGATGATGATGCTTGATAGAGGAATCCCCTCACAACGATCAAGCATGGTAAGCATCCTATATGCAAAGTAGAGGTCGGCACTTCGAATTTTGTTGTAGCCGCTTGCTCTCGGCATGACATTGAATGAGTAGAGGTACATCAAAACTCGGGCCCAGATGTGTGGTTGACCAAGGTTCTTGGTCGTTAGCTCATGTGCTTGCAAGCCAAAATATTGCACCGCATCCACGGGGTTGTAGCTACCGTCGCTATTCATCGTTCCGGCTTGGGAAGGGACGAAAGGAGTGCCATACTTGGCGATGCGAAATTGACTGACCCGTTTACCTCCTCCTTCCTTACCTAACGAGTCCTTCTCCCTCATCGCTTCCTTCCTCACCGAAAAGGTCCTCCTCCCTCATCACATCGTCTTCTTGATTCTGGCATCATCCTAGCCTAGCTATCTTCCTCCATCTTCATTTAAATTGATTTATTTCAATGGTGGCAGGAAAGATGAACTCAGATGCTTATGGATCATCTTCAACAACATGTAGTAGAGGTGTAGATTCAAAAATTAATTGTCACCACAATATCAAATATGTTTTGAGGGTTGTTAAAAATGGAGTGAATGCGGGAAGGAAGTTTCGAGAGTGCTCTTTATGGCTAGTAAGTGTTAATTACCAATTTGTAGAATTAAACTTGTACAGAAGGAATAATTAGGGTTTAAATTTTACTGTTTGTTTGATAATTGTTTCTTTGTGTGCATCAAGATAACAATTGTGATTTCTTCATGTGGGAGGATAGTATGAAAACACTTTCTTCACCTGAGTTTGAAAATGGAAGCATATTACAGAAGCATGCAACAAGAAGTGATGACATATTCATTGAGAAGATGATGTTGGAAGAGAAGATAATGAAATTGCGTGTGAAAAACAAAAAGTTGAAAGACAAATTGCAGCAGAAAAAAGAAGAAGTTTTGCGTTATGAAATCTTAAATTATTCTAGGAATGACAAAAAGAATTCAGTCTGTGTAGCTATTTCATTGTTGATAGTATCCATTGTGTTGTTGTACTTCAAATAAGTATTAAATTGATAGTATGGCAACATGTACTTCAAACTATTAGATCATTACGAGTACTATTTTAATAGAGTGATGAAGATAATTCAATCAGATTATCATTATGTTTAATGTTTTAAGAATTTATATTTAGTCAATTTTGAGAAGAAATTTATAATTATTCAAATGAAGGAAAACAATGGAAGGGAAAATATAAGATTATCAAACTGCACAAATATGAGTGCAACCATATTCCCCAACAATTATCTAGCGATCAACTGAATCCAAAAGGCTTTTGGATTCCCCCAACGATCCCAATTTTCCAAAGAATTGCGTCAAATGATGCTACCTAAACCCAACCAATATTCAACCGTTCATGTGCACACGGAGCATCGAGAGAGGAGGGTCCAAGGAGTTAAAAGGAGTTATTTCCCGGAGGGGTACTTTCAAATCTTATTTCCTAAACTAAGGTACTTTTAAACTTATTTCCCATATAGGGTATTTTTTCCTGTCATCACGCCATGTCAACACCCAAGTTAATTTCCATTTCCACGCCATTAAACACCACATTACATGTCCGTGTATAAACAAACAAAAAACAGGGGCTGATGGGGAGAATCAATCCCACGCCCCAGGCAGTTGGAATTCTATGTCAAGGACCACTGCACCACACCTAACACATGTGACATTGTGGTATTTAAGTCAATTATTATTCATATGGCTCCATGCATATTGATGGAGTATATGGGTCTGAGCCCCTGGACCCACATACTCGGAAGAACAGAAAGCACAAGACACAGAGTGGCGCCCTCGTCGGCCGAAGACGCCCCCGTCGGCCGAGAAGGTGCCAACTCAGATTATGGTCCTGAAGCCAAGGAACCCGGGTGCCCTCGTCGGCCGCGCCCCCGTCGGCCGTGCCCTCGTCGGCCACGCCCTCGTCGGCCATGAAGACCTCACAGAACCGGATTTTATACTTATTCATTTGTACAGCCCATTAGTGGCTTTGTATTCGGCCCAGTAGCGGTCCAGTTGTATATGGGCCTCCCAAGCCCAAGGCTTGGGAGCCCAGCCCGTATTTTCTCTATAAATACTCCCCTTGGGAGTAGTTGTAAGGGTTCAGAATTCATTAACATCAAGCAAATATACTACTTCTCTCTCTAGCTCTCACTTCTCTCTAGAGATATACTCTATCATTTGGTGCTCTCGTTGAGAGCTAGAACAATCAAGTTAGCACCCTTCGTCGCTACCAAGCACAGCTAACCACTGATCATGGGGAGAACTAAGTCAAACCGCAACCTCGTCAGCAAAGCCATCCCTGAGGACCAAGAGCCCAGGGAGCACGATGAGGACGCCACGGCCGACCAGGTCGGCGGAGGGGACCTCTTCCAGGAGGCTTTCAACCTCACGACGGACCTCCGCAACCAACTCAACGGCGGAGTCCCTGATGCCCGCCTCGGCTTGGACAAGAAGCGGGCGGAGAAGACAGATCACGCCCCGGCCCAGCCTATGGCCGCGGCCTCTCCGTCCGTAGATCCTCAGGTCCAGGCCGCACTATCAGCTATCATCGCCAGCTTGGCCCAGAACCCCACCGTCCTCAGCGCACTCTTGCCAAGGACTGGGGGGAACGTCACTCAACCTCCTCAACCCCAACCGTTGGCCGTCCAGATTGGCAACGATGAGGGGGTGGTGCCCCAGGACACGGCGTCGTCCCACTCCCACCCTGCTTCCCCTCTTCGGCCCGGGCAGACCCCAGCGCGTGGAAAAGCCTCTGCCTTCAATAGGCTAGGTGACACGCGCCGTCGTCCGGTTTCGGAGAGGATGGCGGGACGGATTGGTGATCCTCGTCCTGGCTCGCCAAGGGAAAGCTTGGGGTCTGTGTCCCGGACAGCGGACCAGCCCCGCCCGGACAAGGGCAAGGGGAAGTTGCACGAGGATGACGTGTGTCACCAGATCAACGCGGCTCACAACGAGCGCCTGAG